AGGAAGGAAGGAAGGAAGGAAGGGAGGGAGGGAGGGACGGAGGGAGGAAGTGGGGGAGGGAGGGAGGGAGAAGAAAGAGGAAGGGAGGGAGGAAAGAAGGAAGGGAGAAAGAGGGAGGGAGGAAGGAAAGAAGGAAGAAAGGAGAGGAGGAAGGAAGGAAAGAGGAGGGCGGGAGGGCGGGAGGGAGGAAGAAGGGAAACAGGAAAGGAAGGACACTTCAATGTGCTTGGCCATCTCCCTTTCACTCAAGAAAATAGACATTATGTTTACTTTCTGCTGCATTGGGATTAGCTGAGAAGCAGAGGCCACACACACACACATATACACACAGAGAGAGAAAGAGATGCAGAGACAGACCCACAGCCACACCTGCCCTGAGGAGCATGCACCAAACTTTTTATTCATGTAGCATCTTCCCATACAACGAAAAGACATTTAGGCCCCTGCAGAGTTTGTATCGGGGCCCGGGCTTCCCTTGTCCGTCTCGTCCTCCTTGTTGCCTCTGAACCTGGCCAGCACGGGTGTGTTGAAAACAGAAGCGGGGCTGGAAGGAGGGCCAGAGCCTTGGGAAGACGAGGTGGGGGAGCTGCTGGCAGGAACCCTGGAAGAAGAGACCCATGCCTGCAGTCAAGGAAGGAAGGGGGCTGTGGTATCAGGCCATTGGGTGGGACCCTCCGCCCTCCTTCTCAGGAAGAGTGGACGGTCCCAGATGTGCCTGGCAGACACTGTCAACAGAGGTGGGATTCAGCTGGTTCTGACCGGTTCTAGAGACCCGGTAGCGGAAATTTTGACTAGTTCGGAGAACTGGCCAATCCCACCTCTGAGTGGCCCCGCCAACCCCATCTCTTCTCCGCCTCCCATTGAGTCCCATCTGATCGGCTGGGTCTCCTTTGGTTGCCCTGCACAGGAGAACGGAGCTGGAAAGCAGGTTAGTGGGGTGGGGAGGGAAGGGGATTTTGCAGTAACTTTCTCCTGCCACGCCCACCAAGCCACACCCACCAAGCCACACCAAGCCCACCAAGCCCACAGGACCGGGAGTAAAAAAAACTGAATCCCACCACTGACTGCCAACCTCCGTGAGGCAAACAGTGGGAAGCCTCAGGGTCCCAACCTCCCTTCCCCCAGCTCTCTTCTCTCCTGGTCCACCCCCTGCTTTAGAGCAGAGGGATCTCCAAACTTGGCCACTGGTCCTTGAGCCCGTCAGGATCGAACTGCTGGCAGTGGGCAGAATATTAGCCTGCGATGCTGCACTCTAACCACTGCACCACCATGGCTCTCAATATGCATTGATAGTGTTCTCCAAGTAAGAAACAAAGAACAGAACTTTTTCCTTTCCCCCATCTCTGGTTCCCTCCCCACCCAGTGGGTGGTTCCTGTGCCCCTGGCGCCCAGGTCAATCCAGCCGCAGGTGTCCTACTCTAAGAGGGAGCTCCTCAGTCAGCCCACTGCAGCTGCAGAAAGGCCGTCTGGCAAACTGGCCCATTGACCAGGAACAGCGCTGGCACCAAGGTTGAGAATCCTGACCTAGACACTAAAAGGCAAACTCACCTTGCCAGGCCTGCCAATCTTGCAAGAGGAAAAGAAAAATGGTCCAAGGAAAATCAAGGAAGGTAGGAATGCAGGGACACGTACCTTGGGAAAGTATATTTCAGCCGGTGGACAGGGTTGTTTGTGAGGAACGAGGGACGAAATCCACCAGGATTCAGCATTAGCGGGCGTAGGTCAACCATGCTGTGGAAGGTGGGAAAAAGGAAACAGGAGTCCTATAGAGCAGGGGTCCTATAGAGCAGGGGTCCCCAACCTTGGCCACTTGTGGACTTCAACTCCCAGAATTCCTTCAGCCAACTTTGCTTGTGGACTTCAACTCCCAGCTTTGCTGGCTGAGGAATTCTGGGAGTTGAAGTCCACAAGTCTTAAAGTGGCCAAGGTTGGGGACCCCTGCTATAGAGAACATGCCCCAGAGCCTGCAGCTGTACCTGGCCTTCCCTTACTCTCCCCTGGGTGCTGCTCTTTTGAGGGAGGCCAGGAGTGGGCTGCCGGGGGTTCAGGAGAGCCCCTAGCTAAGATTCTGCGCAGTTCAGAGAACCCCCAAATCCCACTTCTGGCTGGCTCTGTCCACCCACCCCACCTCTCCCAGGAGTCCCCACCAGGCCGGTTTGGATGCAGGTAAGTGCAGGGGGTGCGCGGAGGCTCATAGACGATGAAAAACGGGCCTCCCGGAAGTTTGGGAAGGCCAGAAATGGGCCTTCCGCAGAGCCTTCGGAGCCCGGGGGAGGCTGTTTTTGCCCTCCCGGAGGCTCAAGGAAAGCCTCAGGAGCCCCCCCTGCCATGGAGCAGGAGGCTGACTAGGCCACGCCCACCCAGCAACCGGGCAAAGAACCCGTTGCTAAAGTTTTTGAAGCCCGCCCCTGAGGGAGACCCCATCCTTCCCACCCCCTCCCCATCACCACAAGGATCCATGGCGGCCCAGCGGATGCCAGGTTCCCTCTGACCACCCTGGCACCTGCTCTGCACCTCCTCCCTTCCGTGGGATGCTCAGAGGGAGTTTGACTCATCCTGCATCTCTTCACACTTCCCCCCATCAGTCCGGTGTTCCTCCATTTCAGGGGCCTCCCAGTGGCCCCTAGCCCCAGTCCCTCCCACACGGATTATCTTGCTTTCCACGCTGGCCAACCCAATGCTGGTTGAATAGCCTCCTTCCCCCCCTTCCCCTTTCTTGTAGCCGATTGATACCAGAAAACCAGCCACAGTAAGGAACCACAGTATGCAAAAACTCTTTCTTAGTTTTGGGTTCTTTGCCCTGGCAGGACTTGGTTAATTTGCCCAACTGCCTGGATTCACATGACCTCCTGAACCATAAACTGGCCCCGTGGGGCTGGTTTTCCAGAGTAGGGGTCTCCAAGCTTGGCAACTTTAAACCTGGCAGACTTCAACTCCCAGAATTCTGAGAGCTGTAGTGCTCCAGGCTTAAACTTGCCAAGGTTGAAGACCAGTGGTGGGATTCAAATAATTTAACAACCGGTTCTCTGCCCTAATGATTTCTTCCAACAACCAGTGCACCAAACTGCTCAAAAAGTTAACAATCGGTTCTCCCAAACTGGTGCAAATTGTCTGAATCCCACCACTGTTGGAGACCTCTGTTCCAGAGAAAAGCTCTACTCCAGCATTTCTCAACCTCAGCAACCTTCAAGACTTTATCAAGGAAATAAAAACACATAGAAAATACTGTTTTAAAAAGCAAAAAGATACAACAAAGGACATATCATTTTAGCAGTAAAATAGTTATTATTCCATATATAGTTATCTAATGGAGTACAAATTTATTTCTTACAGTTATATAATTTCCACGTTTTTAGCCTACTACTACTTTGTAAAACTGAGTTGCATATTTCATTATATTTGTCCATACTTTTGTAGGCAATCCACACATAGGTAGCAAGTGGAGTCAGCTCCAATGATTAAAAGTGGCCATACAATTACTTTTTCCAATGCCTTTCTCCCAAAACTTAAGTAAATGTTCTACATTGTAAAAACATGTGTTTCAAAGAAGCATTATTCTTATTCCATAAACCTTCATTTGAGGCCCAGTGACACTCAAACTCACATTGTCTAGGCAATATAGGAATTTCTAATTCTTTGTGTGTCCAATCACATTTGGCCAAATAAAGTCTATTCTATTTTATTTTTCTATCTTTTATATTTATTATTCTATCCTATCCGATCCTATCCTATCCTATCCTATTCTATTCTCTATTCTATTCTAATTCTATTCTTACAGATTAGCAGAGTTGGAAGGGACCTTTAGGTCATCTAGTCCAACCCCCTGCCCAAGCAGGAAACCCTGACATATGGCAGTCCAATCTTTTCTTGAAAGCCTCCAGTGATGAAGCTCCCACAACTTCTGAAGGCATCTTCTATTCCATTGGTTGATGATTCTCATTGTCAAAAAATCTATCTTTATTTCCAGGTTGAATCTCTCCTTGTTCAGTTTCCATCCATTATTATTCCTTGTCTGGCCTTCAGGTGCCTTGTAGAACAGCTTGAGCCCTTCCTCCTCTCTGGGGCAGCCCCTCAAATACTGGAAGATGCTATCCTGTCTCCCCTGGTCCTTCTCTTTACTAGACTAGCCAAGCCCAGTTCCTGCAACCGTTCGTTGTATGTTTTAGCCTCCAGTCCCCTAATCCTCTTGGTTGCTCTTCTCTGTACTTTTTCTAGAGCCTCAACATCTTTTTTATAATGTGGTGACCAAAACTGGATGCAGTACTCTTGGTGTGGTCTTACTAAGGCTTTATAGCGTGGTATTAGTACCTCTCTTGATCTCAATTGTATCCCTCTGTTAATGCAACTTAGGATTGTGTTGGCTTTTTGGGCTGCCACTGCCCACTGCTGGCTCCTATTTAGCTGGTTGCCCACTAAGACTCC